AAAGCTGCTATCATCTCAAAACATCTTTCACTCCAAGCTTTTAAGGGGACTCCAGATATACGCACCCAAACCAGTCTACCATAATTTTGAGGTGCCTCATCCCATGGGTGTATTTTCTCACACCAGAGCTCAAATAACTCTTTGTGTTGTATCACATATTCCTTCAAATACCCCGCCAATCTCTCCGTTAATAGTATGGTTCTCCCTCCCAATGGTGATATATTTATCAACCCCCCATCCACATCCAATCTCTCTTGGATAATAGAGATCATTGACATGGACTTAACCACTACTACCATGCTCCCCTGCAACCATTCATTCTCCTCTTTCAATGGGCAGAAATCAATGATTTCCTCCCTGTTGAAACCCGAGTTCACCGCTCCCTCCTTTTCCTCGGAGCTTTTCCCCTTAAGACTCGCAGACTTCCTCTGAATGATAGATATTCTATCCATAGCTGCAGATTTCTCCTTCTTTTCTGCTTGTTTATTCAGGACCAGAGCACCATGTTTCCTTGAATTCCCCATTACCGCCTGAACGTATGACAAACCTGGTTGTACAAAACGCTGCTCTCTGATGCCCTCTTTCAGCCTAGCACTTCTTCGATGCTCAAAACTTCTCTGTACCCTGTCAGTCCCAGTCTTCTTCCCCGCATTCCTCTGCCTTCCTATCTCTCGCTGCCTCCTGGAAGATGCCACTCTTGCCCTCAGCTTATAGGACCCGATCCATATCCTATTCAGTCTCTCTTCGAGTTGCTTAACATCTTGCACTCCTTGCATTCGGACAAAACCAAACCGTTTCCCCCATCTATCTCTCTTACTTGGTATAAACACATCAACAACCTTTCCATATTTCTGATACTGGTACCACAAAGCCTTCGCATCCCATTCCTCTGGGAAGTTGTAAATGAAGAACGATTCTACCTGTCCCTGAGTCCTATTCCTAGAATCTCCTCTCCTCCAGTTGTGCCCTTGCCGCCATCTGGATCTGCCGCCGTCCTGAGTCGCTACACCCCTCGCCATCCTCTTTTGAAGTTTCTGCAATACCAAAACCCTGATCTAATAGCTGTTGTTTGGAAGTGCACAACCGTAGAGATACTGAAATATTGTGTATCCATTGGATTATATACAGGGTCGGCTTCCAATTGAACAAGATGTAGCCGTAAAAAGGCTCTCTAGTGATTCTGGACAAGGAGATACAGAATTTAAGAACAAAGTTCTCTTAGTAGCCAAGCTGCAACACCGCAATTGGTCAGACTCCTTGGCTTTTGCTTGGAAGGAAAGGAAAGACTTCTCATCTATGAATTTGTGCCAAATTCTAGCCTTGATCAATTCATATTTGGTATGTACTTGTTTCATTTCTCTTTGAGTTCAAATTTCGAATTTTGTTCAAAAGTAATTTCATTTGAGTTTGCATTTTTTGAAGGAGTTGCACCTCTGATGGTCGAGAAAAGGACTTGCAACTCTATGTCCTCTTTTTCCACTTTGTTTTATATACAGGGTCCTTGTTTTGTTTTAGTAATTTGCGTACTCACATGAACTATGAATATATAGATCCAATCAAGCGTGCACAATTATATTGGGAAAGACGTTATGGAATCATTTTAGGCATTGCTCGTGGTCT